GATCATCGAGTGCAACTCTTAAGGAAATGGCCCATAAAAGGATCAAACACGCAGCTTTGGTATTATTACCATTATGCTCTAATCAACTGAGCTAATCTCAGTATCAATAAAAGTTCTCATCCTGAGCCTTGACTCAACAACTTCCTGGCTTGAGCATTTAACCAGATCAGACTGGCAACTAGACCAGAAAAATAACTTTAACTTTTATTCAGAGGAAAACAATGCACTGGCCAGGATATGTCTTCCAGCAGCAGCAAGTTTTTTGTTTTCTTCAAGCGGCTCTTATTATGGTGTGAGACACCCTAAGCACAGGGTATCTTCTTTAATCAAGGTACAGTACAGCAGTAAAATTTATTAGCAGAGTTCACATCTGCTTTGTCTTATGTAAACATCAGGTATTATTTTAGTCTTCTTTGGCCCTGAAAAAGACCCTTTTTCCCCTACACATTGTCCTAGGCAGTGAAATTATGCTTTCCAGCCTCTTAATTTAAAGCTATAATTTACTTCTACTAGGTGTTTTGTCTGTGAGGTACACGTGAGTGTAGCTCTCTGCTCTGATTAACACTGAACACCTACTGTGTTCACCAAACAGATGACCACTTTCCTTCTAGCAGTTTGAATAAATAAATATGATTAGTGGTCAGCAGGCTGACAGATGACCTTGCTAATACAGATAGGTTGTCTTCATTTCATCAAGATGTTTACGTTATCAGAGAGTGTTTTCAGCAGCATGCACAGCTGGAAAGCTGTGTGCCAACATTCTTTCCTCAGCACAGAGGCTTCTTTCATCTTTTAGACTGGTTTGCGTCTCTTCTTGCTTAGAGGACACAAGTGCTTCAGACGCAATCTGCTAAGGGGATCAGGAAGATAGGGAGGGCAATAACAATCTTAATAGAGCTGGTAGATGGATTTCACATTTTGAGGGTGTTGAGCTCATGCAAATGAAAGAAAACCACAAAATATTATGAGGGCTTTTTTTTTTTTTTTTTTTTTTTAACACTCCTACAATTTCAACAAATGTAGTTGGATTCAATGATCTTAGAGGTCTCTTCCAACCTAAATAATTATATTATTCTATGAAATATGAAAACAGGTAGAACATCTCTCTCTATGTCCATGTGCTAGTTTTTCTTGTTAGAAAAACCTGTACTGTGTCTCCTTTGAATACACACTGCTATCTGTGGTTTACAGCTATTTTTGAAGTGTATTACACTTGGAAAATTAGATGCAATACATATACTAGCATACATGTATTAGTATACTTGTTATGCAAATTACTTTGAGTTCAATAGAAAACGAAACGTACTACCTAAAAGACTCCTAATTCCCCTGTTAAGAAACTGCAATAGTTTTTGTAGCATCATCTGTGAAATGGATTTGAATGATGTATCAAATTTCCTTAGGTCTAGAATCAACCTAACTCCTCCTGTTCTTGATTAGAAAATACCTGGAGTACAAGCATCTTGAATGTCTTCATGTGATATGGACTCAATGACTCCTTGGAACATCTGTTCCAGGACCTTCTCCAAGGGAGATTTTTTTTTTTTTTAAACAGAAAAGCATTGTGAAATGGTCTTCAGGATCCAACTACCTGAAGCAAGCTCATCTCAGAAGAAGGTACTTTGGTTTGTCTTGAAAATTGAATGCAAACTTCAGTTTTAAATCCAAAAGATCTCGGCAGTTGCCATCACAGAGAATGGGTGCTCCAAAAGAAGCCTTTACTCTCACTCCTTCCCATTTGTATTTCAATTTACAGGTTAGGTTATCACAGGTAACACAGGTCATCTCTATTGTTCCTTTTTTTCCTGCGACAGAAGGGAAATCAGAAAGATTCATCTTTCCTTTAGCAGTTGTGTTGAACATAAGAGTTTCTCAAGTCTCTTCACAGATAGGTGGATAAATACCCACTCTTCAAATAGATTCAGATTTAATGGAAATTTAGAGGATATGTTCGCCATTGATGGCAAGTTTAAAACATGAATTTTGGTTCAAAGGATTGTGTACAGAAGTACAAGCACAGAATTTAGGATTCATCAAAAAAAGTTTGGTTGGTTTTTTCCTTGTAGTCTTAAATTGATATTTTGAGATCTATCAGACTGTTAGGATAGGTCTGCATTTTCCAAGTCCTTTAGATTACCAATGATAAGGCTACAAAGATGTGATTTTCAAAAAGGCTGTGATGGTTTCAGTGAAAGCCCAAATATTCCCAATAGGAATTGTTTATCTACATTACCTGTATACTATCTATATCTGTTGAGAACCCCATCCAAATTTCCAATTACTTTAAGCAAAAAAGGAATGGGCAATGACACACCGGTGACATACCTGAGTTTCCCAGGATTTACCCTTTTCTGCCAGAAAACTGCATTTGACCTAAGAAACAGTAAAATACCTTACTCTTACTGTCCTACCCTCTCCCTTCCCCTCCTCCCGATTTCTGCCTCTGTAGTCTATCCTATACTTGCTGATGGAATTCTTCTGTCACCAATACTTATGATTTTAACTGTTTTGTTCACCTAGATTATAGCTACTTCTGGAAATTTTCTGAACTGCTATCATCTACAGCACTAGTGACAGAAACTTTCATGAGAACTGTGTAGGTATCCTGGTGACCAGTGGATAATTCTGCATTTTGTTTCTAGGGACAGGAATACTATGGCACATTAAGATTTCCTGTTAAGGTGACTTATAAGGTGGTTTGCTACAACAGTGAGGCTTGTAGTGAGCAGCAAGTGATTGAGACTACTAAATTCACAGCTGACACAGATCTAATTTTCCTAATCATAATCTGCAGTCCAAATTCTATCAATGCAGATTATGCCACAAGCAGGATAAAGTGAAACATCTCTATCCCTACTGGAAACCACAGAAAATAAACTATTTTTAAAACACGATTTACTGATTAGCCTCTAGACTTCACCACAACCAAACTGTTATTACTCTTTACTCTTTGGCATAGACATGAGGAACTCCATACTACCTTCCTAATTAATTGCTAGAAACTCTTCCTTGTAAATCATCTCTGCTCTAACTGGGACTGTTGCATACTGACTACTATGTTGATACTCAAAAGGATCATTAAATACTTTTCAAATAAAATTCTATAATCACTTCTCTGATTTCAAGAGGAATTTTTCTTAATAACTAATCATTTAGATAGAACATATATTTATTTATTAATATACTTTTGTTTTGTTACTGGAATCACACGAGTTCCTAAGAAAAACTTGATCTATGTAAATTTTAATTTCAAGTAATACGCAGAGCAGCTAATAGAGGTACCTTTGTAAATTTTTTGCAATTCTTAACCACAGCCTACTATATATGGAAGGAAAGCAGTCGAAAAACAATGTCAGCCTCTTCACATTGATTAGGACCACTAACTGCATGTGTAACTGTGTTGGAATAAGTAAACCACTGTGTTTCATTATCATAGAAAAATAAACTGGGTATCAAGCCTGCTGGCTTGCCAGAAGCAATTTTCTTGAGCCCTTGAGTTTTGCTTTAGTTGTTTTTTTTTTCCCTTTCATCATTTTTGATAGTGTAGATTCAAAGTTTTAATGTCAGCTGAAATCACAGCAGCAGTTGCACCATAATCTATACACCAACAAACTTAGTCACCACTATTTTTAAAGAAACTGCTGGACATTCCGCACTTGCTCATCAAGAGAGCAACAGCAGCTGCACATCAGCCTGATCTAACACAGCTTCTCTTCCAGGTTCTGAAACAGCAGAGTTCCCTGCAAAAGGAAATTACTTCCTTGTTGCATCAAACTCATGCAACTTTTAAGACTGACAATTTATCCTCTACCAATTTTGTGGTAAATTCAGGCAATTGAGGAAATGCTACAGATGCAGTAACTGAGAAAACTCTGATAGCCACCCAGCTGGCCACCATCTCACCCAAAGAGAAAGAACACTTCCAAAGTCTTTAAGATTTAAGATCTGACCTTACAGAATGCTGAAACAAAAGTCACACAACTTTCATACCTGGTTCCTAAGAGGAATCCAACTGAGGAGTGCTGAAAGCTTTTCTTATATTTTTATTGGTTAGAAAGGTGAATCTACCCAACCAAAAACGTGTTCCCTGGAAATGGGAACAAAATACTTTTTAGATAGCTCATTAATTTTTGCACGATTCCTTCATTTCACCCCAGTGCATTATGATGTCTGTCATCAGCATAAGGAATAAATGGACACTGATTACATATTTTGAAAGTATTATATAAAGTCCAATATCCCAAAAAAAGAGGAAGTTGAATAGGCTAATCACATTGCTACTGCATTAATTTGGTTACTACCAGTAACCTGTATGTCTAAATGACATTTATGCCATGGCATGATAACAAAAATATATAAACTTTAGAAAGACATTATCTATGTAAAACTGTCACTCGCTGTATTTTTAATAGAATCAACTAAAGCACACAGAAGTGAAGTCTAAAAGAACCAAAGTATATTATAATAGTTCTGAATAGTTTCTTGGGGTAGGGGGAACTATAGGGCAAAATTTTCAAAGGGAAGAGGTCCATTTTTGCTCACAAAAATTATCTGCAAACTTGTGACAGAATTTATGTGGGCAATTGTTGACATTCTGTAAACAGATCTAGCAAATACCCTTGCAAATGATCAGTACAGGCACCCAGCTGTAGCTGATGCTTTGCTTGTACCTTTGTGAATATTCTCCTGGTAACTGCATGCATTAATCCAAACTAGGATTACATTTTATGCAAGCATTTTTAGCACAAACATACCTCCACCCTCCTTGTTTGAAATGTGAGTGCTGGTGCATTAAAAACATTTGGAAGACAGACTTATTAAAATAAATGTTAAGAGAACACAGTGGGGTATATTTTCAGTGTGGAGCAGAGAGATTTAACTGCATGACTTCCATTAGCTTTAATGAGAACTGAACAGCTAAATCCTCACACACCACACTAGAAGATTAACCCAGAAAACACACATTGTTTACTTTTTACTAATACTCTGATTATTACCACGTTCTTCCTCCTCCTCCTCTTCTTCCTCCTCTTCTTCTTCCTCCTCCTCTTCATCCTCCACATCTTCACCTTCCTCTTCATCCTCCTCTTCTTCCTCCTCAATCTCCTCTTCTTCTTCTCGATCTATCTCCTCATCATCCTCCTCCTCGTCACCTTGCTCCTCATTATCATCAGAATATTCCTCCTCCTCTTCATCCTCTTCTTCTTCTTCCTCTTCCTTTTCATCCATCTCCTCTGTTCCATCAGTTTCATAGCACTCATCTACTGAAGAGTTGTCTGCTTTAACCACAAAGGGTTTTCTTTTGGGAGCTGGTTCTTGGGGTTGCTTGTCTTGTGTTTTTCTTTTTTTTGCCAATGGACAGCCATAAACACTGTTCAAAAATAAAAGATGAAAATTATAACACTATCCCCCAGATTTTATTTAGTCATATTCTAATTCTATATCATGATTAGTTGCCGTTCACAAAATGCATGTTTTCAAAGTGAAGTTATGTTTAGGCAATGATGACCAAGGGGGAGGACACAAAACCTGTGAAAATGCAAGTGACTATTATTTGCCTGAAAATGCAACACATACACGACAGCTTAACAGTTTCAGAAGTGATACAAATGTGTGTTTCTCCTTCTCATTCATTTTTATCTTCTACATTATTTATCTCCTTTTTAAGGCACATGAATATGGTTAAAAAACCAGCAATCTTGTCCTACCTGTAGCTAGCAGTACAAAATTCAGGAATAAAGCAATGCTTCAAATTTTGTAGTGTTCAGTATTTTGATTGTGTGCAATTATGTTTCAATTCAATGATGTTTAAATAATAAAAATATGTTCATATTTTGAATACTCTTTTTTCTCATACATAATAACATAATAATAATTTTAAAAAAAATGAATTGCTCCTAAGTTCCCCACTGTTTTTCTCCATTATATGCTACAAGGCTGGACAAATGGGAAAGCAAGCTCCCCAACACAACCAATCCAAATAATTATCATGGCCAGTGTTACAAGTGTTCTCATATTTTAAAAAATCAATAAACAAAATCTTTTGTCAATGAAAAAGGACTTTTCAAAACTGAGAACCACTTCCTTATGGATCATTTTATTACATTGTAACAGAAATAGAACTTCAGAGTCCTAGCCTTCTACCAAAGTAGCCACTTGTTTCTCAAAGGTCACATAATCTGGGTTTGCTGAACCTGATCTCCTTTGTGTAACCTCTATAACCTTCTGTGCAGAGTAACTACACACATGCATTATTTTTTGTCCAAAGAACCTCCTCTTTGAGCTTTTTCATTGTCTGATTATAACATTACTAAAGCTATATCAGTTTTTAATCTTCTTCTTGTGATTAACTAGTTTTGGGATATTTCAACTGTTCTTTATAACCTTTTCAGCATATCCCTTTTGTGTTATACTGTTCCTCCCTTTATCCCAATACACCGAGGAACTCTTATTTTCTTCGACTCTAACAATGCTTCATATTCTGTTAACAGACCACTGAAAAATCTGGTGCTTCACCACATTTAGTACTACTCTGTGTGGTGTCCTCATACTCTTGATCTTGGTCTAGTTTGATAGCATCCCAGCAGCTATGCATCCCAATTACTTACACTGCTACTTAGGTAAAAACAATTCTATTTAAGCACCCAATCACTTTATTTAAGTGCCTAACTTAGGTATTGTCTTACCTCAATTTCAAATCACTTGTTCACAGTCTGCCTGTCACATACATATCTAAGGAACATAGAGAGTCACAAAAGATGGTATTCATGAAAAACCTGCTACAGGAGATCTCTGTGCAAGACAGGCACCTTTTTCTCTGTGGGGACAAAAGGTGTCTATCAAGTCTAATCCAGCATGCCTAAAAACACCTGCCGCCATTAACACTATATAGAAATACTGCATAAATTTTAAGTACATCCACCTAGCCAGATTCCAATGCACCTCACATGGGATTAGGGTAGTAATCCTAGCAGAATATGGATTCCAGACACCTGCAACAAAGTTGAAGCCTACTGGTACAGGCTAGAGGGGAAATAGATCCACAACCTCCAGATTCCAGAGCCATGTTCCATCCAGAAGGAATATCTGGGGGAAGAGCATCCTGTCATGGAAGATGAGCCCCAGTGCACCTGGAAGCGAGAAACTCTGATGCAACAGGCAAGCAAAAACCCAAATCTTCACAATTTGAAGAGCCCTAAACCTGAAAACGTAGGGAGCCCTAAGCTTCTGGTGCTTTCTCTTCGGACTATATTTGTTTCTGTGTAAAGACACTTCAAAGTAAAATCTATAAATATGGAAGAAATCCTTGTCCTAGATCACCAGTACAGTTCAGTGCCAAATGACTGTACTGCCTCTTGTTCTGTGAGTCCTCCTCTTGGTCAGGACCCAGCTGCTCAGAAACAAGGGGAAATGTAGGACAAGTTTCCATGGATAACATTCCACATAATCACCATCAAGCCACAAACAGGAATGCAACCTGCATCAGTCAGGACACTGCATAACACCTGGGGTGAAAGGGAAGCACTGTTTCTTGTAGTTCTGGCCACTGCAGGTTTATTTTGGTGCTTTCCCTGGTGCTATGGGGTTTCAGCAGCTGCCTATTTAAACTCTCCACATGGCACTCTGAGAGAAGGCAGATAAATTTTTCCACAAAATTAGAATTTCAGAGTGTGTGTTGTGCTGAGGAAAATGGCTGGATAATTAGGGAGGAATCTGTTTCACTTAGGTGTCTAACAGAGGCTGCATCCTGGAAAACAAGAGTTGATCACGTCCTGGGGCTCAGGAAGTTTTTAGGAACTTGCACATCAGTTCAATATGATTTAGGCAGACAGGTTAACATTCACTGAATGGATGTCTTGCTTTCTTGGTTTCTGTTCCTTCTCTTTTGGATGCACACTACCCTCACCACAGCTTCTTCAATGCCATTATTTGTTAAATTATTTGTTCTCAAAATTCTTTATTTCCAAAGTTGTGAGTAGGCTTACCCCCAGAAATCTCCAGGATTTCCTTTCTTCCTCTTATTATAACCTTCTCAGAACTTTGCACTGATGACACTTGGGGTAGCCCTGAACTAAAAGGGCACCCACAGATGTGTAACTGTGAACATTTTTCCCCACTAGCATCCATACAAGCTTTAATTTTTCATAGAATCATGGAATGGCTTGGTTTGGATGGGACCTTGAAGACCATCCACTTCCAACTGCCCTTGGTCAAAGGTAGAAAGAAATCCGCACTGCCACTTTTTGTCATCTTTAAGATTTTGTCCCATCTTTATGGTCTTCTACACAATATAAAGTTTGTGAGACTCTATGGCATTACTTGGGACTCAGGACCCCCTGGTAAGTGCATAACTGGCAATGGAAATCAATTCCAGTTAGCTATGTGATGACTTCAATGCTTTTATAAATCTCATTAAGTAACTATTTGGAACTCAAACTTCAGGCAAAGTTGTGAACTTTAATTTATATCTTTATGAACCTATGGTCAGTGTCTTCGCTTAGAATTTAAAACTGAGGATACATCAGCAACTACAAGAAACAAGTATTTGTATATTGTAATGGTTGGACCCAACATTAAGGCTTGGAAATTATGTAGTTTTTCTAACGAAATGGGTTATGCTAGTTCAAAGAATCACAGAATGGTTTAGATTGGAAGGGACCTTAAAAATCACCTATTTGAACCCCTCTGCCATGGACAGGGACACCTCCCACTAGACCAGATTGCTCAAGGCCTTGTCTAAGGTGGCCTTGAATATTTTCAGAGATGGGGGATCCACAACCTCATCACTCACAGCAAAATATTTCTTCCTCCTATCCAGCCTAAGTTTCTTCTCTTCCAATTTCTATTCATTACTCCTTTTCCTATCACTAGTTCAACTCAGCTTTTGTAAATGCTCCTAATTAATTTGTACCAGATATTCTGCAACCCTCGATCTGGTTTTGTCTGTACTTGGACTTATATTTGATAAAGCTGCCATTGCAGTGATTTTTCATATAAAACCTGCAATGCTGGCTTGCACCAGCTTGCTTCTGCCTTTCAACTGTATACCTCACACAGCTCATATGTACCTCATGTACTGCAGACTTCATAGATGAAAGAGTTTAAAAAACCCTCACCACGTGTTTCAGAAACCTGGGAAACAGGCCACCAGACCTGAAGCCTACTGTTAGTAGTTGCCCTATTTTCTTTTTCTTTCTTAACCTGCTCCGTTCTCATCCTTTGTTTCATTAATTTTCAGATTCTGCCTCCAGGACACTTCTCCCTGTTTCTGGCGTGCTCCCTGTGGTCTCCCAGTGAGCACAGCAAGGGGAAGGCTGCGCTGGCTTCCCAGCAGCCTCTGCCACTGACTTCCACTGACTTCCCCACATATGGAGATGACAGTCTCTCCCGCTGACCTCTTGCTCCTCATATATTTGTGAAAGCTGTTATTGTTTGTCCTTACAGCTTCTGCAATTTTCTCTGCATTTTCAATTTTGGCTTCTGTGATCATCCCCTTATTTGGTTATTTTTAGACTTGTTTATCCCTGCTCAGAGCATTGACCCCATTGATTTATGTGTCGTGTTTGCCTTTATCCATTCTTTCATTGCTCCTCGCATTTCCCTGGTCAGCTGTGTTTGTCTTATTTTCTCCTCACGCTTCAGCTGTCTTGGCTTTCAGCAGGGTATATATCTGGGCTTCCTGAGACACACTTTCAAATATTCTACACTGCTTTGCTCTGTGTCTCAGTCATCTCTGGTTTGTGGAACCTGTCATGAATAATTCTTGTGGAAAGAATGTTGTTGAATTTCATACTGATAAGATCCAAGAGGACATATAGACATTAATAATTGAAAAAATGGAACAAATAATATATAACTTTATAGTCCCTAGTTAGAAGATGGCTTATGGTATTTTTTTTTAACTTTCATTCAATTTTTGTCCTTTAAAAATGTTATGATGCTACTCACTAATACACTCAGCAGGAGTATAGTTCAGGAAATAGGTATTTCTTGTCTAGACTTGAATATATGGATTTTTAATACATTTTATTATTAATATAATATAATTTTCAGTATAATTAGTATGGCTATTATTTCTAATCTACAACAATTAACATATATATTTAAATATACATAGTATAAGTTCAAATAAATACACAGGGTTTCTAAATCAGATTACTGACCAATATTTTTCCCTCCACAATATGACAAATTACACACCAAAATTGGAACATGACGCCTTTCTCTGGAGGAGGTTCTCCTCTTAGAGGAAAATGAGAAAATGAGAAAGGGAGGTTATATGACTATTAAGAGTTCAGTCAACTTTAAATATCCAGTCTGGATAAAGTAATTCCGATGTTCTATGTTTACCAGCATTCTTTTTTTAGTTGT